TTAAGTTTAACTTATTTATGTAAATGAATCAATTTAAACTTGAACTTAACTCATTAACGTTATTCCAATAAAGTCTACTAGCATGTTCATTGAATGATAAAAAAGATGATTCTTTACAGGTTAACAATTCATGCCAACACCTAGACTGAGGACTAATGCATCTTTAAAATGTTACTCATTTTTTATTATTTTGTAAGTATAAAGTTATGCTTTTGGTTCCACCAAATTACCTTAAAAAATATATTATTTTGTAGTGGTTATCTTTGGGTAGTTTTAAGAATGTGCTACAAATATATTAGTTAGTAGAAACCTTTTTAATTACTACTAATTGAAAATGCGTTACTAGCAAATTTTTTTAATTTGTTGGTGCTTCCAAAATTCTATGAACCTGTTTGCCTTTTGTCTCATCGATTTAATCTTGATTTTTGTTCGTAAGACAATTCTCTTCACATTCTACTAGAGTTTCAATTCCTTATCTATCATCACCATTCTTGTTATAAAAAAAACTAGATAAGCAATCTATCTTTTGTTGTGTTTCTTGCTTTGTTATTTTGATTATCATTGCATATTAAATTTTGAATTAAAAACTTTTATTAGGTTTTGAATTTAAGTCTCTTTTAGGTTTGAATCTTACTTGATTTCATATGTTTTGTGATAAATGAATGCAAAAAACATGCAATTTTTCAAAAACTAGGCATGCATATTTTAAATTAAAAATTTTAAAAAGTTCAATAAGATTTAAATGCATAAATTAGAAAAGAGAGCAATTTTTTTTTTTAAAAAAAGTTAAGAGTATGTTTGAAGAATCAAGTAAGAAGAATAATTTAAGTTTAAAATATTTTATGATTTTGGCTCTGGAAATGTTTGAAGACTTGGGTCTTTGGAATTAGAATTCATTAATCCAAGAATTGGTCGCAATGTATAAGCTATAATTTATATATCATTAGTTAATAAAATTTCATATATTTACTAGTTCCATTTCTTTTAAGGACAAAGGTGAATATTCACTTTGTAGGAGACCAATAAAATCATGGTTGCTTGCTTTGCAATGACTTTTATTCAAGAGTAAGGATCAAAGAAAGAACAAACTAAATCAAAAGAAACAAGTGAGCTAAGTTAAATCCATCTAAGTTTTTATTGGAATTGCAATTCAAGAAGTGTAGCAGGAAACAACAATCTAAGTTATGTTATTTAATCAAATGGGAAATAAACTTAACATAGAATATTAAGTCTTTTTGTTTTACTTTAACTCAAATCAGTATTATGTGTATCATGTTTTTATTATTATTATTAATGATGTTATTTTAGACTCTTCATTATTAGAGGGTAGGTTTAGACTTCTAAATTTTCAATGTCTCAACTCTCAAATAATGCATATTTCTTCATCTATATGCTTATAATAAATTTGTTTGATTTATACCTTTTATAATTAAGATTTAATGCATTTGTTCACATTTACATTACTATTTCATTGTATACATTTATTACCACTTGTTTATATTTAATTTAAATGTGAACTTCTTCTTGTCAAAATGGTTTCTCTATAAATTTGTTAGTTTTACTTCTTGGGCAACTTGTCATTTGACCACTTATTTGGATAATTACATAAAAGAAGTAAAAGTAACATAGATTCTTAGGAGCTTATCCTTTATTGAGTAGTTCTACAGAGATGTCACATATTTTTTATTTTAACTCATCAATTGTGTTATTAAGTAAAATGTGTGTGAGATAATTGAACTATTGAAAATACATGTTGCAATGAGAAAACTCAATCATTTACAAGTCTTCCAATATTATTTTATTAAGGTGCATATGTTGCAAAAATAAAAATGAAAACTAAATTTTATTTTTACTATCCAAAGCTTTTATTTTTAATAATATATATCTTCTTCCAATAAACTATAAATAAACAAGTTTGATTTTTAATTTTTTGTTATTTGTCATGTATTATTTTAGGTTGATGAATTTTTCTCTTCTTTACAAAATAGTATTATAACTCACATACGACAGATTGAAGTCTACATTATTGTTAAAGGATATATTAATACCATTATTTTAATTAAATAAGTTTAAGTGACAGTTTTATAGTTTGTTTATTAATTTTTCAATTTATTCTATTTTTTTTTATTAAGGATACTAAGTATAGTTTATTATTCTATAATGTAGATTTTCTAGTACATTTTTTTAAAGTAATATACATGACTTGTTTATGTAAAGATTAATTTAAAAAATACAAATCATAAAAATTTAATTAATCCTAGTTAGGTCTTGTATAGTTTAAAGTTTCATTGATTTAATGAGTTTTATCAATTTATTTTTAAGCACAAAATGAAAGAAATAAAAATTTTATATCTATATAACAAACAATAAGATATTGAATTAAGGAAGTTCAATGAGTGAAATAATTAAAACAATACTACTCATTCATGTTATGATGAAGATATCACTAAAAGTTATGGTTATTTCTGTTGTCACAAGTTGATAAAGTGTTAGATAAAATTTAATTTTAGTTAATGATAATTTTACACAAGAAAACAAAACCTTCAATGATTGTATAATTACTAGTATACATAAAATATCAATTAAAAGCTTCTCAAAAATTAAACAGAGGCAGATCAACATTTGTCACTATACTATTAACTTGAGGTTAGAATTGTTAATGAACATAGTTATAATCATCACAAAACTATATTCTTTTTGTAGTGTTAGTATGAATTTAATTATATAATTCATACATCATATGGTTGTTATATACTATGACTTATTATGATTGTCAATTTGTTTTAAGTTTTGGTATGAGTTTGGAATTTTTGACGCCATAAAAATATCAAAACATTAATCAATTAAAATCATAGCTAATAACATATTTTTTTATTAATTTATCCAATCTCTCTTACAAACCATAAAAATAATTACTATATAAAATATAATCTTGGTAGCCAAATTCTTCCTCTTTAATTGTTATAATTAATTTATAAAAACACATTTCTTTATCAATGAAACCTTAATTAACTACTCAGAGAAAAAGTTTTACCACATATAGTGGTTCTACCCAATTTGAACAAGATTGCCTCTAATAGAAGATATCTATGGTTTAAACAAAAAAAACAAAAACAACCTTGATTAACTTAATTCTTGGAATCATAATTAGTAAAAAAGTTCTTTTAAATATTTTTAAATAAATGTACTTTATGAAATATATTAGAGAATTCACTAGAAAAGTATTTAATTACTGCAAAAATTGTCAGCCTAAAATATTAAAAAAATTCTAGATTTTTTTTAAGCTTTCATTTACACATGGATAAAGTATTTGTGCTTCTAAAGAAGAAAAAATCATTGCAAGTCTTACATTATTTGCTAGCAAAAATTCCTTTATTTTGAACAACTATTTATATATGTATTTAATAGGACATGACTATCTTAATTATTTTAATAAGATTTGGTGGTACACAATTTTTTATTTATTTTTTTATTTTAAGGCTTTGTGAGCCAAGAAGTTGCACATATCTTAGAAGGTAAGTATTCTCTTCGTTTTCTTACTTTCTTTTTTGTGTCAATTTATTCTTAGGTACAATGTTATAATTTCTTACTCTTATAAAAAGAAACATGTAGAAGGAAAATATACAAGAACACTTCATGCCTAATTAGTTTCTTCAAATCCAGGAGTATATGTACATGACCAATAACAATTTAGTTAAATAGAGAGGAAGAAAATGTCAAATAATGCATAATCAATAAAAATAGAAGAAATCACTATTTTTATCATTACTATTCTCCTCAAGGTTTATCAACATAGTCTCTTAACTAAATAAATAGTCATATTGATGTTGTAATATATACAATTTTTAAATATTTTGATTCCTAAAATCCTCAATTTTTATATACTTTGACAAAAGTGATGATGTAATATGTTAAATGTAAAATAAAATACACATACTGTGAGAAAAGTTGAGGGACATAGTTTAAAAAGAAGGTACTATTTCTTAGATTCTTCAATTAGTCTCTAGAACCTAAAATAAGAAGAAAGAAAAAACTAACTTGATTTTAATATTGTCATTTTCATTCCCATCATTTTTACTTCCAATTTAACTCTCTCTTATTCTTAGTTTTACACTATTTCTATATCTTTTTCTTTTTCTTCATTAAAGGCCCTTCAAACAATAATAATAATGGAGTTGAACTTATTGAAACTTGAAAACTATTTTCTAAATGTTTGCAATAGGGTTAGGTGAATACAAAAAATAAGTTAAATGAATTGTTGGAATAAAATGATATAATTGGAGATGGGTGTGAGGATATTAATAAGTTTAGAAAATCTATAACAAATAAGTGTGATTAAGAAAAGGACATGAAGAGAACATTTAACGTCTTTAACCAAAACAGAAATGTCATCATAACCATTGAAGAATTAAGAACTATGTTGTTGTCTTTGAAGTTAAAATAGGAAAGAACAATGCAAGATTGAAAGAAGATGATAATTAAGATGAATGTAAGTAAAGATAAATGATTAGTTACATTAAAAATAAGTATCTTTTCTATAAACTAAATTGACATATTTTAGAAACAATAACTTCTTCTAAACTATCACTCAACATTTTTGCTATATATCCATCTCATTTGGTACTTGAGGACTAAAATATAATATTTGTTTAAGTGGAGAACTATTTTTTATGAGCCCTAAAAATAATGGAGGTGAAAATGCTAGTTTTCTTAGCAAAAATATAAAACTATATTATTGGCCAACACTAGTAAAATTTTAATCGTTGAATATAATTTTTATTTTTACATTATTTATTTTGATTATCACGTGATTTTAAATTTTTGCTTTACTTATTAATAAATTATTTTATTTATAAATCACGTAAAAATAATTTTTCTACAAATTTAAAATTAATTTTGAATTTGAGAAGGGGAATATTGGGCTGGGCCCAAAGCTTGATGGAGAGAGCTCATTTAACCCCTCCCATTCAGTACAAGAAAAACCTTGCTTCAGGAGATTCCATCAAGTGCAAGAAAGAGCAATTCGGCAATTGCGTTGCACAACCTATGGATTCAGATCATGAATGTCGTGAAAAAAGTGATTCTTTCTTTGTTTGGGACGATAAATCACAGCTTTATTTCCACGCCAGGTTTTCTTCTTTTTTTTTTTCTTTTTTTTTCTCCCCGTATTTCAAACAACGTGTCATGGATGAAATAATGATTATTCTGTTTGCTCTCAATCCTTAACTTGATGGAGTTTGAATTTTCTTATCGAACTTGTATTTCAAGTGGCTGTGGTTATTTATTCGTTAATTTGAAGTGATTTACATCTTCGGAACATCAAAATATCATTTTGTATTGAAACTACTATATTATTGAGACTAGCTTTTCTTTTTTCATTCGATAATGGTTGATGTAGCTAGAATGCTTCGGTTTTGTTATATGATATGAAAGGAATGATTGCTTTACATTTATCCATTCTTATGTTTGGTGTGAGAGAATTGATGAGAAGAAAATTTGATGGAAAATAGATTCTGATTTTTAAGATAAAACTAAGTGGGGATTGGGAATGGGCTTTTCCTTTCCAACATCCCAATCACACATAAGAATGAGTTATCTGATTCCATGCCCTCCAACCAAACAGATTCTTCCCTTGGTTTGATGCAAAGTTGAGAGATAGTCTGTAGATTACAAGTGAATCATGAATCTATAATCAGCTGCTTCTGTTAATTTTCTGTTTTCCTTTTTATTTGTATAAAAAGTTTTGGTCATTAACTTCTTTTCTCATCTCATTGTTTGTTTGGGGGGAAATGTATTTAACGTTCTCCAGTACTGGATTTTACCATGACCCTAATGCTGGCTGGTACTATAGCAGCAGAGATGGTGTTTATTACAAATTTGAAGATGGGAATTATGTACCTTTCGATTCCAATAAGGTGAGTTTTCACTTCTAATTAATCTAATCAGTTGTGATTTTTTCAAAACTAAACTCTAGTTAAGTCACTATCATTTTATGTTGGCAATTTAAGTTCTATTGTACGTTGCCTCAGGATGACAGTGGAGAAACATATCCATGCAAAGAAACCACAACTGAAAGTCCTCGACAAATATATGGGAACAACAGTGAGGATTACCCTTCTGTCCTTGAAAGTAAATTTGAAGCCAACCCAGAGACAGGAACCCTGGCTGATGAAGCAGCTGCTGGTAAGCAATATTAACCTGCCAACTCTATTGCGGAATTTGTATTAATTTCTGATGATCATACTGTCAAAAATAGTCTGGTCAACAACATTACAGCATGTTGGATATAGGAAACAGGTTGTTCTGCAGTAGCCAGGACAAGGGGTTGCTGCTAAGTGACACCTTGCCATGTCCTCAACACCTGCACATCGTTTTTTAATATAATAGACAATTGATTTTCTACTACTCTTCCAGCATCCACATTTTGGTGTTTCAGACATGCAGCAGTAGTTAATATGAGTAACATCAGTAATCTAAGTGGCTGTCTTTGTAATAGATGCCACAAATTCCATGAGCAGTCCAGCTTATGAAAACCCTCCACCACCATCAGAATGGTATTGACCTTCCACATCCTTATTCCAATGATGATTTTTACCTTAGAACTTTTGCCCAGTAAATTAGTCATTTTACTAACAGGTTAGAAGACACGCTCATTGATCTATACTTATCTGGCTACAAGGACATAGCAGTTAGTGCAGCTGATGCAGTGACAGTTCCATTGGAAACAGATGATGGATACAACTCCTTAGCAGCTGATGGTTTGTTCATAACGTCTACTGTTTTTCTTTTTTTTTTAATTTTTATATGTGATAACTAATACAGCTACTAAATGAATGTGTTTACTGCATGTATAGCTTACAACAATAGATATGCAGCAGGTGAGTGGATCCCAGATTCAGTGAATGAAAATGGCTTAGCTGATAATAAAAGTACTGTAGATGAAGGTATAGCTTACAGCAACACTTATGAACTGGAAGAAGGTGAGTGGATCCCTGACACAGAGGATGAAAATGGCATAGCCAATCGAAGTACCTTAGATGAAGGTATTACCATATTTTTAGGCAGCCATGCCTGTCTGCTTCAAATATATAATCATCTGAAACAACAATATTTATTTTAGTAATCTCATAGCTTGTGTATAACTACTAACTAGCATTTGAGATTTCAATCTGTACTCTATATACAAATAATCTGTGGAAAAATCATTACAATGTGCACTTTGGGTATACTGCAAAATCTTATACAATACAGGTTTGTGTCTTTGTATGTTTTAATTCTATAATCTAGTTTGCTTCCAGTTCACTGTCAAATGTTTTTCTTTCTCTGCATGGGTGTTATAGTACAGTTTTCATATGATGTATGACATGGCAAGCTACTTTTGTTCATATGCTTTATGTATAACTTTACAGGTATATCGTTAGATGAAGAGAAATGGCGAGCTCAATATGGTCAAGTTATTGAATCAGGGAATGATCTGGTTTCAGAGATTCCAATTTTGGACTTGTGGGATTGGGAAATGGTTAGAGGATCCAAAACGGATGGAAAAGATAAGGTGGCAAGGTTGGTTGGGAGACTGGTGAAGCCATCTGCAAAGCAACATCCATCTATCCCTTCTGCTGGAGGGAAATTAAGATCTGCTCCTATCTGTGAAGCACATCTCGATCTGGTACGAGTTAAAACAGGTTTGCATTTTACTCTCACATTAGCGTGAATCTTTCTCCATGTCATGAGATGTAACTATTATGAAGTGATACCGGAGAGATTATATGTAATTGAAAAATTTATGTGCTTGTATATCTTTCCTGATGAATCAATCGGCCACATAAATTTAATTTTAAATTTATAGATGAGTTAAGTTTAAAATGAAGCAGTATTGAAGTTTTCAGTATAAATGGCATTTTAGAAGTGCTTCCAGGACTAAATATGGTTGTTTGTGTTCTTTTATCAGGACAAGTGTACAAATTGCGAAATCCTAGTGCAAGATATGTGGCTTCGATATCAACTTATGATTCTACGAATCCAACAAAAGATTGGGATTTGCCTGAGTTATCACCTAATAGAAAAACAGCTCTTCTCTGCAAGTCTAGTGAAGGCACTGCTTCAGCTTCAGATAACATCGCTATGGAGAAGGATTTGTCTGGGGTGCCAAGTCAGCTATCTGCATCTAAGGTGCGTAATCTGATTTTGAAATCAAACAAGTAGTCGCATTTTGTTCCAATTTCTAGAGAAAGCAAATATTCATAGTAGTAGACATCTGTAAAAAGTTATTGCCAAGGCAAAAAATTCCTTACTCGCAAACTGTCATGAAAAGTGATGCTTCAATATCAGTTTTGGGTTACGGAAGTTGATGGGATCAAAGCGGGAAGAAATAATATAAAAACAGAGGAAAATAAAAACGCTTCTAAGGATGCATTCTCTTGTTCCGTGTCCCATGATCACCCTGTATATAGAATTGTTCACTACATATAAGGATATCTCTAGAATCTGTTAGCCTTCAACTCATTTTCCGTTTGCTCTGCCAGCAAATAAAATATCAATACAGAGATAGAGCTGCTGAAAGAAGAATACTGCATGGTGGCTTTGGCGTGGGTCCAGGACAGAAGAATCTAGCTATCAGTTATAATTCGCCATCTTCACCTGATACTGATTGTCCGCAAGAAGCTGCATCAGAGGCCTTGGAGATGTCATTTGGAGCGGGTAGCTATGCCAGAAAACTTCTAGAAAGCATGGGTTGGAAGGAGGTACCTTTTTAGTTCTTACCATCTTCAAGATATTCCTCTTTTCTTTGTTGAAATTCTTAAGAATTTCTAATATAATTTCAGTTTTTCCTACTTTAAAATTACTCCACTGCCACGACCATATTTTAGGTCAAAGCCGGGTATCTGAATATGATAATGTTTTAAGATCACCATTAAGCCACACATCCCTTATATTGAGAACAATTGTCATTATACATGCACTTAAAACACCCCTTCTCATCGTTAAGCCATAATTATTATTTTCAATCATTGTGCAGGGAGAAGGGCTTGGCAGTTCTACCAAGGGTATGGTGGAACCTATCCAACCGGTTGGAAACATTGGCAATGCGGGCTTGGGATGGCCTCGTTGAAATTTACAAAATTGAGTGAGGCTCACTACGAAGTAGCGCCATGTGACGGTTGTAGGCAATTTTTAAAATTGCAGAGGCTGATTCCACAGTATCCACATCTTGAATTTAATTATTAGAAAGTGTGCCATTTTTGTACCTTTTTTCTACCTCACTGTAACCAATTATACACGATGACTGATAAAGTACTACAATTTAGCACCATATGAAATTGTATAGAGCACGAGCAAAATGGTTCCCGTTTAGACATCACAGTTTTGAAAAAAGAAAAAATAAGTCTTAATTAAATTGAATTAGTATAATATACAACAAATGAAAAAGCGCTAAGCAAAAAATAAATTGTTTCAAATTTTTTTAATTCAAATTAGTTGACAGCTTCCCGGAGTATCATCTAATAACTGTCATTTCCGGTAAATGCTGCATCTGACCTTATGCTCGAGGTTTTTCTGTTAAGAGGCCCATGTTTTGTCTTTGGATTCCCTCATCATTTTATAATTTATCTAGCAATAGAAGAACCTGCGTTAAAATTCCATCATAGGTTGGGTTCTCAAGTTTTAAAATGGTGAGTTCATATAGTAACAACACGCGGAAATATATCCTCTCATGCCACAGGATCACACCAAATCTTAACCATTAAATAATATAAAACTTTATTAATATATTTTAATATTTTAATAAAATGAAAGGCTGAGATTAACAATGCACCCCTAATGTGAAACTAGGGCACAAAAGCATCACGCTATTCAATCAAGCTTTTACTGTTTTCAAGCTATGTTGGTTTCATACTGGTATTGCTCCTATGAGACGCAGACTGACAATAAAATTTTTATGGTGGTCTGAACTAAGGAAAAAATTAAGGCATATGAAAATTTAAGTAACACAATAAAATAACAGAGGTACTAAAATCTCATATTTAGTAGTTTTGAGATTAAAAAAAAAAAGGCAAGGGTAAAATTTTATTTACCAATAGATTTTATCTAATTTGCTAATTTTTTAAATTAAAAATTATATTAACATACATTCACTGTCCTTTGGCTCCTCAGACAAATTTACATCTTGCAAACAATATAAAAATATGAAGTAAAGAGCTTTCTTACATTTCAGATTGTTCAAGACAATCAAGACTTTTTTTTTTTTTACATAATGGTATGAAGGTGTCTTTCTTGCATGTTAATATATGAAATTGTTCAACCGATTGTACCTGTTTGTGTAGAGACTAAATTGGTTAGTGACTTGGAAGTTTAATCATATTCTTATGTCAATGAACGAGATGGTAGGTATCCTCTAATTAACGAAAAACATTAAATTACTTTAAATCGGTAATTAAAAAGAATTTGACTTTTGTAAAATCTACAGCAAAAGTTATTAGATGTGTTTATTTTTTATACAATTACAGAAAAACGAAATATGAACAGTGCATATTTAATTTAACATTTTAAAATAATAACTTGTTTCTTTCAAAAAATTTAAAATCAAGACCTCACAATTTTAAATAAAACAAAAATTGTGTATCTAAGAATAGTGCCTAAAGTGTACCTTCACAATTTATAATAAAAAGCTTATACTTTTAATTTCATAAAAATGTTGGTTAATAAACTCAATTCAACGACCATTAGGCCATAAAGAGAAAATAATTTGGCTTCTAAAGGATCATTGGCCTGTGAAGAGTGAAATTCAGCTATGCAAATACGCAAGCATGCCATTAATCAAGTGCTAGTTTGGATTGCGGCTGGAAAACAGAAACTACAAACTTTATGAGACAATGAATTGGAAGACTGTGTTACGGCTAAAAAAGAGCTTAAATAATTTAGCAATAGGAAGCCTCAGTAAGCCAGAAATTCACATCAAATGTATGTTCAGACGGTAATTCCAATTCAAAATTTAGTCCTCATCGGCTTCACTATCTAGTAAATAGCCAACAGCACACATGGTAACAACATAATGATAGAAGACATTACAGGGTTTAAAACATATTAAAAAATGTAATCGCATAAATCGGCTCCGCGGATCATAAAGGAATGGAATCCGCAGGTTCCTATCAGGATGCGAAACAAATGAATTTCACTCTTGCTTTAGGTCCAATCATAGCATTATTGGTCCCTGCTCATTAAGCTACCAACAACGTGGCATTGGACCAAACCCCAAATTGAAGAAAATTAAGAATAACATAATATTTAAGAAAACAAAACCCTCAGAGACCCGTTCCAAATCACACACACAACCCCCCCAAGGAATGATTTCGACTAATGGCATTGAAGGTTTGCGCCATCAGTGGATGAGATCATTCTATGGATTGGAGCTGCTGTTTAGAGTGTCATACGGCACTTCCTATCAATTTTGGGAGATCTTCCTCATAGGGTACTTTGTTTTTCCATCGTCTATGTATCACATCAAAAACTAAACCCTAAATAATGATGATGAACTAAATCTCACCAAAAAAAATGCAGCAACTAATAACACAGAAAAAAGACTAACTTACAGCATTATACTGCTGAGTAATGCAGTAGTGCAGCCACTCCTCCTATGCAGCTAGGTTTCATCAATATATATACATGTGAAGGAACAAAAGGGTAGGGTTTTGGAGGCGACGACGCTTATGGGCGTTTATTTATCGTGGGCCGTTAACCTTATGGGGGAGAAGTTTGGTTAATGTTGCCCAATGGGCCCAAACAAAATGAATAGAAACCTTTTTTCGTTTTTGGGCTTGCAAATAGTATAAGGCTTCCAGGCAATTACAACTGGGCTTTTGACATTACCCACTAATAAAGGTCTTAATGGACATTTTGAGGCTGGCAAAAAAATATGGTAATTGAACATTTCAATTTATCAATTCATTATAAGTAAGAGACTGTAAAATAAGTCTCGCTCAAGGTAGAATTATTGAACCACTTATAACATGTTTAGTTCTGCTTGAAATCCTCACAATTTGAATCCATTTCAACCATACAAGTTATAACTTTCACGTTCGGACATGATTTAGTCTATTTTACAAAGTTTCCAACTATTTATGTTAATGGTGCAAATACACTTGACAAGTGACACCATTCTCTGCTTCTCGGTCTTGCTTCCATCACTTTGTTTCTGAACCTTGTTAATTCTTAATGTTTATGGTACATGAAGATTTTATTTTATCTTGATTTTTTTTACAGGATCATTGTTGAAAGTGTATCACTTTTTTTATCTAACAAAAAATTTAAAATGTATTAATTAATTACTTTGAAAAAACTAAACTTTAAAAATTATATTTCAAAAGGATGGTAAAAAAGAAACCACCCAACAAGCCCATCTCGGACTTGGGATCCAACATACTTTGGTCCAATACTTTTAAAACCAGGGCCCAGAAATAAATTCTATCTTTTGACCCTGTTCAGTGTTCACGATAATCAAAATAAAGAAAAGATACCAGAGTTAGATAAAAAAAATTAAAGATAGTTTTTATTTTATTGTATATTAGATGGATATTATACTACAAAAATAAATAATATTACTTTATTTAATATTTAAGATAAACTTATATCAAAATTAATATATTTAATAAAAAATTAATTTTAATTTATTTATTTTTAATTTTTAATAGAAATATTTATGAATATTCAAAATATTTTATGTACCAGCTCAAACAAGATTGTATTTAATTGAGAATATGTGGTTTTAAAAAAATAATTTGTATACAAATAATATTGAACAATTGATATTAAATATAAATTTTTTAAAGTTAATGTTTAGTTTTTGCAATAAATCATAATTAATAAATAAATTAAAAATGATTAAAATATTTTAGAATTATATTATACAAAATGAGTAAAATAATTATAAAAATGCTAAAAACTATATTTTAAAAAATTATTTATTAAAAATAATGTTTTTATAAAAGTGTTGAAAATCTGTTTTATAAATAATCGTTTTTTATTAAAAAAAATAAAAAGGTATAGGATATAAATAAAAAAGTTATCTTGTCTTAATAACTTTTAAATTATTCCTTTTCCGAGCAGGATAACTATCGATAAAATAATAATAATAGTAATAATAATAAAGCTCTTCTTTGTAGATCTAGATAGATAAAATTAAAAGAATATAGATAAAGATAGAGATAAATTATAAATAGTTTGATTTTAATATACGATAGTATAGAAAATTGTATACTATATATCAATTAGTTATTGATACAATAATTTATAATTAGAATATATGAGAAATTAATAATATTTGTTGATACTAATTTATAAGTGTTTTGTACACTTTGATTGCATTTCAATAAAATGAAATTGGAAAAGGCTTAGAAAAGATGAGAAGTGTCATGCAAAGTGTATAACGGAAGCAAAGGTAGTATAAAATCCAACTGTGATGAACATAACTAAAGTCCATGTTGCTTGCTTTATACATTCTCCAAACTCCACAGTATAACCCACTCTCCAACAATGGCCAACACATAATATTGTCTTTCAATAATTTTGTTCTCAATTCTCATGTCTCTCCCTTGCCCACCTCTCAGAGACAACTCACGTAATTATTATTATATTGTGGTGTTGCTAAGGAGGAGGTATTCCCATAATCGTTAACCAAGTCCTCCTAGCTACCACACATGAATTTCAATTCAAATTCTTACCTTAGGTTATGCATATATATACATATAATATAATCTTTTTGGTTACATTCGCCAAATAAAGATAAAGACAAACAACTTTTCTTCAAATCTTCACGTATAAGGGCCCCAACTAAAGTCTAAAGATAAATAGCTAGCTACAACTCTCTTGTCATTAATGGCTTAGTATAGATTATCTACTATAAGATTGTGATATCTTTTAGTTAATGATATGAAACTAGTGTTGGCTGAGCCCACGCTTCCACTTCCTCCGTGATTGGCTCTTTTAACATTGGGGGTTTTATTTATGGGGCCAAGTGTCACCATGTTATTGGCAAATGGCGCGTGGGCCTAGCACAAATCAAAATCATACATAAACTATACCCTCTTTTTCCCGTGATCTTTTCTTATTGCTTATATGGATAATGCAAATTAAGTCGAAACGATTGGTTCAAAGAAATAAATTAGGGTTCGTGGGTTGAATGCATTAATTAAGCAATGGAATTTTGACTAATATTGCCGGGGACATGGTCATGACGATAGGGCCCAAAGGTACTCTGATTGGCATTTTTGTTGTTCTCTTCCCGTCAAAGGTAAAATTGCCCATCACTTGTAACTTGTCTACCTTTTTCATTCTTTTTATTTTTTATTAGTTACGTTGGAGCTTCATTATCATTCTTTTCCTTTCACTCTTCCAACACTTCCTGTTTATAGGTATAATTTTTTTAATGTATATTTAGGATATATGACAAATAATAAATTTTATCAATTATTTTAATATATTTTTTTTATGAAAAAAATATTATATGTAGATTCGTATTTCCAAAAACATATGGTAGAAAATTTGAATATTGGTATAATTAATTTGAATAAAAAAAAACATGCATATATGTCTAAAATTAATGTTCTATAATAAAAATTAAAGGAATAATTTTGTTTGAATAAAAGTTGGAATTATCTTTGAACTACAAATATATGGAGAATCTTACACCTAGCATCAATCGTACTCAAACAAAAATTGAAAAAAAGAATCTGCTACCACTGGGATCATATTTACTTGTTACAAAATTAATTCTGAGAATGTAAAAAAATATGTTAATGAAGATAGATTATTGTGGGAATTGATTTAAGTTGCAACTACCGTGTTGTTCAAGTTAACTAAACAGCTCTGATTTGCTAGCTAATCATGATAAATTTTATTCTAGTGGCTTCTTCTTTTTTTATATGGTTTTTTTAAATTAAAAAAATATGAGAAATTTCGCTTATATATTACATGGATATGGAGTTTTAATAAGACTTGCCAATGACAAATTTTTTTTGCAAATATATCGAATCACATTTAAAACTCACCAATGACGAGATTTAAAAAAATAATTTATTAATGGCAAAATTCTTATTAGCGATTTTTGTGTTATAATATATATATATATATATATATATATATATAATTGTTATTAGCGATTTTTGAATAATATTAATTAATTTAAAAATCTTAAAAGTTACTATTGAAGATTATTATAAATACTCGAAGGTGTGTTATTTTATGTGAAAAGTCAACATGTGTGCATATTAGAGAGAATGTATCATTTAGCAAACTAAATTATTAAGTTGCTCAAAATATTGAATTTGAGTTTCTAAAAGAAGTGGAAAGTATTGTTTATAAGTGTCCAATATCTATATTTGGTAGTTTCATGCAATATCATAATGTTTCAATAACAAACAATGCTGATGTTGTACAGATGTTTCAAATACATCAACGATGTCATTCGCCAATCCCTACCATTGAGTTATATGTTATTTTCAAAGAAATTGCAGTTAATATTGATGAAGAAGATGATAAGAGTGCATATGCAAGTACTGTGCCAAACAGAGAGATAAAATAGAAAAATTTCAATAGTGAAAGTGGTGACTCTGAATCTGAAGAAAAATATGGAAGTGGTGACTTGAGTGAAGATGAGGATATAGATGATGAGGTCCATTTGTCAAACACATTGATTAGACAACATCCATTTGGGGAGCCATCCTTTATGCATTCGTTAAATCTTGATGCTATGAATGCCTCTGAGTTTTTAGATTATGCAAATTTAGGTATATGTTATTTTAATAATGTTGTTGATGAATTAAAATATAGTTTTTTAATTTATTATATTTGTGTTTGCATTTGATAGGTCATTTTGATTTAGATGGAGACTTGTATGTTGGAAAGCAATTTGCTGATGGAGAAACTGTTATACAAATAATTAAGTGTTACAGTATAACAAATGGAGTGAACTACAAAGTAGTTGAGTCAAAATCGAGTACGTTTTATTGTAACTGCATGAGGTATAAAATAGATTATGGATGACTTCTTCATGCTACTTTTAGAAAGAACGAGTTTATTTGGGACATGTGTATAAGAGGAAGAATTTCTCAAGATCATACCAAATTAGATTCCAACACAATTACAGAATGTATAAAGCTTATGGTTGAGTCTAACCCTTCTTTTAAGATAAAACTCGTTATTGGTGAAATTCAGTTTTAGTATGAGTACACAACAACATATCAGAAAGCATAGATGAGAAAACAAAAGGCAGTTGAAAAAGTTTATGGTCAATGGGAAGCCTCGTTTGCAGCTTTGCTGCAATGGTGTACAACAATGTGTGACTATGTTTGAGGTTTTGTGTTTCAATTGGATGTTGGAGATGCCTACCATATTGATGAGTTAGTTCCTAATGTTAAAATATTTCATCGAGTGTTTTGAACTTTTGGTCCTTGTATAAGAGCATTTAGACACTGCAAA